CCATTCCTTCCAAGATTTTCCAAGTGTAGATTATGATATATCTCTCCCTCCTGCGTTCTAACGAGTACAAGTCAAGTGCTTCCAAGCGTTCCCAGTAGTTAAGGTGCTTGACAGAACTATAACGTGCAGTAAAGGATCTCTGTACACTCTCTAGATCTGCGATTTCACCTGCTTTGAATGGAGATGTTAATGTACAGCAGTATTCCAGCCTAGAGAGAACAAGTGATTTGAAAAGGATCATTATGGGCTTGGCATCTCTCGTTTTGAAAGTTCTCATTATCCATCCTATCATTTTCTTTGCACGTGCGATCGTGGCACTGTTGTGATCCTTGAAAGTGAGATCCTCAGACATTACTACTCCCAGGTCCCTTACATTATTTTTCCGCTCTATTGTATGGCCGGAGTCAGTAGTATACTCTGTTCTAGTTATTATCTCCTCCAGTTTTCCATAACGGAGTAGTTGGAATTTGTCCTCATTGAACATCATATTGTTTACCGATGCCCACTGGAAAACTTTGTTTATATCTTCTTGGAGGTTAACCGCGTCCTCAGCAGATGACAGCCTCATGCAGATCCTAGTATCATCCGCAAAGGATGATACGGTGCTGTGGTGTATATCTCTGTTTATGTCTGATATGAGGATAAGGAATAAGATGGGGGCGAGTACTGTGCCTTGTGGAACAGAGCTCTTCACTATGGCAGCCTCCGATTTAACTCTGTTGACCACTACTCTTTGTGTTCGATTTGTTAGGAAGTTGAAGATCCATCTCCCCACTTTCCCAGTTATTCCTTTAGCACGTTTTTTATGGGCTATTACGCCATGATCGCATTTGTCAAATGCTTTTGCAAAGTCTGTGTATATTACATCTGCATTCTGATTTTCTTCCAGTGCATCCAAGGCCATGTCATAGTGATCCAGTAGTTGTGAGAGGCAGGAGCAACCTGCTCTGAACCCATGTTGCCCTGGATTGTGCAGATTTTGGGAATCCAGGTGATTTGCAATCCTGCTTCTTAGCACTCTTTCAAAGATTTTTATGATGTGGGACGTCAGAGCTATTGGTCTATAGTTCTTAGCTAATGCTTTGCTGCCACCTTTATGGAGTGGGGCTATATCCGTTGTTTTAAGTGACTGTGGAATTTCACCCATGTCCAAGCTCCTCCTCCATAGTGTACTTAGGGCACGCGAGAGGGGTTTCTTGCAGTTCTTAATGAAAACAGAGTTTCACGAGTCTGGGCCCGGGCTGAGTGCATAGGCATGTTGTCAATGGCTTTTTCGAAATCTATCAGAGTTAGGGTAATGTCGGGAAATCTGGCATACATTTATGGAGTTTTGAGGCTCATTCATGAAGAAATCATTTGGGTCGTCGATCCTCAGACCGATTAGTGGTTCACTAAACACAGAGTCGTACTGGGATTTCAATATTTCACTCATTTCCTTGTTGTCATCTGTGTAAGTCCCATCCTGTCTGAGTAAGGGCCCGATACTAGATGTGGTATTTGCCTTGTTTTTGGCATATGAAAAGAAATATTTAGAATTTCTTTCAATTTCACTAATAGCTTTAAGCTCCTCCTGCCTCTCCTGGTTCCTGTAAGAGTCATTTAGCTTAAGTTCGATAGTTTCCACTTCCCTGGTCAGCGCCTCCTTTCGTGTATCAGATATTCTAGCACTCCTGAGGAGCTCAGTGACTCTTCGTAGTCTTCTGTAGAGGGAGCGTCTTTTTCTCTCCAGTTTACTCCTGCTCTTCTTCTTTCTTAGGGGAATATGCCTAGAACATGCTTCGGCTACCAGGAAGTTGATCCTTTCAAGGCACTGGTTTGGATCCATGTCATTTAAGACATCTTCCCAACACGTTTCGTTTAGGACATGGTTTACCTGGTCCCAGTTGATGTTCTTGTTGTTGAAATTGTATTTTGTGAAGACACCTTCACAGGTACATGCATTCTGCTGTTCAGGACCCCTATGCATGTACGTCTGGACTTCGATTAGATTATGATCGGAATTAGTTATTTTCGATATTCTTATGTCTCTTATCAGGTCCTCATTATTTGTGAAGATAAGGTCAAGTGTGTTTTCTAGTCTTGTTGGCTCCACTATCTGCTGGCTTAAGGTGTGTTTTTCGCAGAGACTTAGTAGCTCATGTGTGTGTGACCTTTCATCTGCGCTACCTCCGGGGATTGTTTCAGCTATAACATTATTTGCTACATTCTTCCATTTTGTATGCCTTAGGTTGAAATCACCAAGCAGTAAGATGTTTGGGGATGGAGCTGGAAGGTTTTCCAAACAGTAATCGATTTTCAGTAGCTGTTCCTTGAACTGTTGTGAGGTTGCATCTGGTGGCTTGTATACAACCACAATGACTAGGTTTTGGTTCTCGATCTTTATTGATAGAACTTCAACTACCTCATTTGTGGTGTTCAGCAACTCCGTGCAGATAAGGGACTCTTTGACATACAGGCCAACCCCCCCTTGTTGCCTGTTTTTTCTGTCGCATCTAAAAAGGTTGTAACCACTTATCCATATTTCACTGTCAAAGTGATCTTTTGTGTGAGTCTCTGTGAAGGCTGCAAACATTGAATTAGACTCCACTAGAAGTCCACTGATAAAAGGTATTTTGTTGTTGGTGGATGGTGGTGTTATATCAGTATTATCATTACTGAATACTGAATGGATCCATTGAATCCTATACTCACGTGTGTGGACACAAAAGCCCGCACCTCACTGCCGACTATAGGATGATTTCAAACCCTTTGTGACACAAGAACTGCGCAATCCCCTGTATGACAAGATAGTTTGAAACCTACCTTGCTCTTGTAGCGTGAGCTATGGTGTTCTTTACACCTTCGACAGGTATCGGTGACTTGATAGAAGCTGAATTGTCCTTGAATGTCCACGTCTTCCACAGTCTAGGAATACGCACACTGGTACACTATGTTCCACAAGGTCTGTCTTTATTATTCACAATCTTAACACTAAAGAAGCTGATCACACTTCTTTGTAAGTGTTTTGATGTGTTCTTTGAGATACTTTTATGAACAATAACGTGCGGATCAGTGTTCTTTGTTCGTTATCCCGGCATTAATGTGTCCCTTAGTAGGGTTATAAGCAGTCTAACTAAGATGTCTCTCGCCACCTTTTGCTTGCCTCTAGCACATAAAGGAAAAGCTGACATAGCATATTTCCCTCCCTTGCCAAACTTCCACCAGGAAGCAAAGCAGAATGCTTGATTCTTGCTGTCTTTAGCATAGACAACAATATACATCTTTAACATGATAATAAAGTGGGTGCAGGATTTTCCTTAATTGTCCTGCTAAGGTAAGAGATTGATTGTCTCTAATTAAACTACACTACTTGCAACACTGGTCTCCTGCAAAGAAGTCATATGACCCATAACTGGTACATGCCGGTTAAACATCTGTTGGTAATTTCTTGATGAACCAGTAAACAAGATGCTTGCCCCTTCTGAGAGGGCTGGGCCCCTCAGGGCTGAAAAGGGCTGAAAGGGGCTGAAGGGGGTTGATAACCCACCTCCTGGAGAAAATTTCTCCAGATCACTTTTGCATACAATATACAATTGACAGTTTTACTAAGGGAATATTCAGTGCCATCTACACATGTTCTCTTCCACATACACACACATCACCCACTCACTCCCAGGAGGTGACCCCATTTCAACCCCTGACTACCCCACCCCTTATGCTGCGACTAAACCCACTCATGTTTGTTCCCTCCCCTGTTCACAAATCCAATAAAATTCCTAATGTAAGTCCTCCTAAACCCTCTGAAAAAGCCACCTGCCACCTATTCCTGTAAATTTCCCTATTGCAACACAACGTACTGTAGAACATTGCTGCTGAAACCTGCTGCCTCACCTTGCCAACCCCCCTACGCCTGCATACCCCACAAGATACATGTATAGTCAACCATTATGTATGGTGTTATGAAGGGTTCTGCATGACATCCTAATGTACATATAGTGGAGAAGTGTGCCATAATAGTGATGGGAACCTTGTCAACTGTTTTGGTTAAAATTATTGGTCCAGTGTAATCTACACCTGTCACCTCAAATGGGAGTGATATGACAAACTCTTTCAGAGGGATATGGAGGTGGACCTGGATACTGACATTCTCGCATATCATAGAGACGACAAGTAATACAGTCCCTTATTTGTTTTTTCACACTTTGTCGACCTTGAGGTATCCAGTAGGATTGTCGTATATGACAAAGTGTTTCAGCTACCCCACCATGTAACACGTTTCTGTAGGCGTTTTGCACAATCAGTTTTGTTAGCCAATGATTCTTGGGGATCAATATTGGATGTATGGCTTCTTTAAATAGTGAAGAATTATGAATTCTTCCTCGACATCTTATAATCTTTTCTGAGTCGAGATAAAGTCCTAAAGAATTAATCATAACAGGTTTCTTTGGGGATTTATTTTGTGTTTCTAGAAATTTATATTCTGTAGAGAAAACATCTTTCTGTATTAGTTTCACCCAGTATTTAATGGGTTCAAGATATTCATAATCAGGTTTTATTCCTTTAATGAATTTAAAGACAAGAGCTGTAACTCTTAAGAGTTTACCCAAAGATGAGTATTTAGATCCTTCAATGACTATTTCTGTTGTGTCTGCAGTATTTACACAAATTATTTCTGCTGTGTTCAAGCAGACTGTTTCTTCTGGCATAATGTGAGCTTTTTGCTGAGGCCAGTTATTTTCATTAAAGAGCCAGTTCGGTCCGTGGAGCCATAATTTATTATCCACAAATTTATTGAGTGGGACACCACGTGACAACATGTCAGCTGGATTCTCTTGGGTAGAGACGTGGAGAAAGAGATAATTTCTCTGCATCTCTTTTATTTCTGCTACTCTGTTCTGTACAAAGACCAGCTTACTCTTATTATTTCTTAACCACTGGAGAACTGCTTCATTATCACTCCATATCACGGTTTTTTCAATAGGAGATGATCAAGTACTTTGTTGAGATAGACAGCTAATTTTGTACCTACATAGAGTGCTGTCAGTTCCAATTGTAGTATCTGTTCTTATCAGCTTAATATCTGATATGGTCCTCATGTGGGATCCTCGATATTAAACTGATTTTTGAATAATGGCGAAGTGCTGGGGCTTGCTCCACCTTTGCCGCGGATCGTCCCAGTATTGCAATACATCTAGGGTCGGTCCACTCCCTTAGGGGAGAACTGGTGGGCGGCGGAGGTTCGCTGCAGGTGAACTATTCATCACTTAACATTAATTTGATTTTCTCACTCCCCACCACTGCTGCTTGTCTTTTCTGAACAGCTTTAGTCTGTGTGGTTTCTGGAGAATCACTAATTTTGTTTTCAACACTGTGTAATTCTAACAGCACTAGTTTATTTATTCCTGCTTATTCACTACACCTTTGCTTAAAACATCAACTGTCCTGATGATTCCATTTGCATCAGGATATATGGTCACAATTTTTCCAAGTGGCCACTGGGACCTCGGACCATCATTGTCGATAATCACTACGTCACCAGGTCTTAAGGACTTATGATTTTCAGGAACACCAGCTCCATAGAAGTGTTCTCTCAATGAGGTGAGATAGTCTTCTCGCCAAATTTTCTCCCAACGTTCAATCACTTTATTAAGGTGTTTGAATTTACGTCTGAGTTGCTCAGGTTCGAAATAAGAAGGATCCTCTATGATTTCTTTATCATTCATGGGAGGAACAGGTTCGAGCCTTCTGCCATGGAGTAAATGAGATGGACTTAACACTTCTAAATTGTCCAGATGATCGGTAACATAAGTTAGAGGTCTGTTGTTGACTCTATTTTCTATTTCAGTCACAACTGTATGGAATTCTTCTAAGTCGATTCTTTGACGATGAAGAGTCTTCCTTAAACAACGTTTTACAATGCCGATCATTCTTTCATAAAATCCGCCGTGCCATGGAGATTTAGGAGGAATGTATCTCCAACGACTACTGCGTTGATTCAGCATCTGTTGTACATCTGTTTGTTCACTGACCAATTTGTTGATAAATGGCATTACCAGTTAAGTTTAAAGAGTTTGTACTTAACTTAGAAAGACAACTCATCGCCTGCACAGCCGCCCCTGCAGACGAGGTCTTGAGAAGCTAACGAAGTCATCTCTCAACGGGCTGTAAAGATTTATAATTTGTAAGATTATAAATTACCCCTAGGGGGTGTTATGTCAGCATATTTCATTCACTGATGGCTGACAAACTACGTACTTGTTTGGACTCAAAAGTCCGCACCTTACTGCCGACTATAGGTTGATTACAAACTCCTTGCGACTCAAGAACTGAGCAGTCCCCCGTACTACAAGAAATTCGTAACCTACCTTGCTCTTTTAGCGTGAGCTATGGTGTTCTTCACACCTTCGACAGATATCGGTGACTTGATAGAAGCTGAAGTGTCCTTGGATGTCCACGTCTTCCATAGTCTAGGAATACGCACACTGGTACACTATGTTCCACAAGATTTGTCTTTATTGTTCACAATCTTATCACTGAAGAAGCTGATCACACTTCTCTTAAGTGTTTATTGTGTTTTATGAGACACTTTGTTCACACTAACACACAGATCTTTCTTTGTTGGTTATCCTGGCGTCAGTGTCACTCTCAGTAGAGTCAAAATTAATCTCCAGACGCCACAGCGCCCCATGCCATCACTGCCCCTTGCACAAAAAAAAGCTGACATAGTGTTTTTGCTTCCTTGCCACTTCCTCGATGAAGCAAAGCAGAAAGTTTGATTTTTGCTGTCTTAAGCATAGACAACAATGTCCACTATCTTTACTATGGTAACAAAGTGGGAGCAGGATTTTCCTTAATTGTCCTGCTAAAGTAAGAGATGTACTGTCTCTTATTAAAATACACTCTGCAACACTGGACTGCAAGGAGCAACGGTCGCTTGACCACGTTGCATACTCGTATGGCATCTTTGATCAATTACTCACTGTAGCAGTAAACAAGACGCTTGCCCCTTCTGAGAGGGCTGGGCCCCTCAAGGCTGAAAGGGCTGAAAGGGGCTGATACCCCCCTCCTGGAGAAAATTTCTCCACAATAGTATGAATATTATAGTTGTAAAGAATAATTTTATAATTGATAATGTGCATTTGGGGGTACTGTAAAGTACTCTAACTGTAATTATAAAGAAATTCTGTTAATGATTTATTTTCCAAGAATGTTTGGGTATGCGGAGTAAGCGTGGTTTGGGGGAGTCACGTGACATTAGCATGGTGTGTAGAGGCTGGCGTCAGAGATGCTGTGTATTTAAGATAAGTTTGTAGTTGTGCACTCATTTTGTTTATCCAACTCAAGCCATAGGCTCTCATATGGCTTACCTGTATGTTCACCCAGGCTCTGACATGGTCAGGGTGCTGTGGAAGGAGTGAGGAAATAAGAAATGAGGTGTGGAGTAGAGTGGGCCTGGCGCTGACGAGGCATAGGTGTTATGGTGGCTGGACCTCCAGCCAGCTGTTGTTTGTGTACCCTCATTTGGGCATTGAGGATTAAGGTTTTTCTGTTATGTTATGTTATGGTGACTAAATAGATATATTTTCCTAATTGGGATTTTTGAATAACCCTCTGCTACCCAACCCCTTTAAGTACACAGTTTCTGTGCTAACACCAAATCCTGAAGTACGGTCTCACACTCACACAATTCCTTGCCACCATACAAAAGTCTCAATCTGGCATACACCCTATCCAACTGTCTCCCACAAAATCCCTCATGAAACACCTTCCTTTTAATAAAACCACATTCAACTGGCCATTTCAGATCTAGCAACCCCAACCCACCCTGGCACACAAGTAACATCACCACCTCCCTCTCTGTAACTAGTCACAACCCGATCACCACAAGAATTGTGACACCCTCCGAAGTATATTCATGATTGCTGTCCCTGTTAATGGGAACATAGCTGCCACATACCACACCTTGCTATACAATAATATATTAAAAACGATTGCCCTTTGTATGAGAGTGAAGTGGTACAGTCGCAGTGCCCCTAGGTGACCTTCGATGCCTTCCACCAACCTAGTTGAGTTTGCCTCTCTCGTGGCCCTCAACTCATCCACATATATAATACCACATATTTTTAGAGTCTTGGTCTGCCTCTGCACTATGTTACATCCCTCCTCTGCCCTCCCCACCCAAGCTCCCAACCCCATGATCATTGACTTCTCCAAGTTTACTGTCATACCCATCGCACCCACGAACAAGTGCTCTGCTTCCTCTAGTTTCCCCAGCCTTGTGCACTCCCACACTAGGACAGTTATGTCATCTACATAACCAACCAATCCAGGCCAAGTCCTCCCCACTCCTACCCCTACCCCTTTGCAAATGCATTTCTCCACCATTCAATAAAAGGGGTCCTGTACACATGCAAACAAGAGCTGTGACATCTGACACACCTGCCTTAGACCCCTCCCCATGAAAATTGCCTCCCCCAAGCATCCGTTGATCTGCACCCTTGCCCATGCACCCCTGTGCAGTACTTCAACCCATGCCATGATTTAGTCTCCAAAACCTTGACACCGAAGTATTGTGCTCAACACTCGTCTTTCTACCCTATCATATGCCCCCTGGCAATCCAGGGCTAACAGTCCCCCTCCCCTCCCCACCCCCCGATCTTCTATGAAACCTTTGAGGATCCCATGCCACGTAACCATTGACCTACCTGGCAATCCGTATTGATTCCTGAAAACAACCCTCCCCACTATGCACTTAAACCTGTTACCCAGTACCTTTCCAAATAACTTGTAATCCACACATAGCAATGCAATGGTGTGATAGCCCTGAAGGGTATGCTGTTGCTTCCCCTTTGGGACCAACACCACAACCGCTATTGTCTGCTTCTCCCCCAATTCGCTCCCTCCTTTATAAAATTCATAAATCTAACCAAAAAGCCCCTCAGCAACTTCCAATGCTGCAGATAAAGCTCACATGGTAGACCATCGATACCTGGCACTCTCCCCTTACGCATCTCGCTTAACACCCTCCATGTGTGATGACCCCATCCTACGTGTCCCGATCTCCCCTCCCCAGTTTGCACAGCACATACCCAGGCACTTGCTCTAAAGCCTTCCCTTCCACCCTACAACTTTCCAAAATGCCTTGTATTATCTACCTGCATATGCACTCATACCTGTCGTAGTCCTTAACAGCTGACCCTCCCAATAACCCCCCATCGACGACTGGGCTGCCAAGCACAGGATAACAGTGACCTGCTGATGCTTTTTCTTTCTCTGCACAAAATGCATACTGAGGGCCGATCACCCCATAACACCTCTTCCACTCCCCTTTACCATGGCAAACCTCTCCTCCTGCACCACCAGTATCCACTCCTTCACAGCATCAATGTCATCTACAGAATAAGTTCCCGCCACCACACCCCACACATAACAATCCCATAACCTGTCCTCCAATAACTGGTTAAACCATACTTCAATTGATTTATGTGCTTCCCTTCACTCACATAAAATTTCATGATCCTCTCTCTTGCTACACCATCCCACCATTTCACCACATCTACCCTCTCCCCCTACCACACTAAGCTGTTTGCATAGTGATGAAAATCCCTCCAACCTCTCCTCATCTGTGAGCATGCTCATGTTCAGCTTCCAATAACTCCTATGCCTTCCCGCCAAAAACTCCCGCCCAACGTCCACCACTACCGTCCTATGATTCGAATAAGCGACTTCCAAGGTGCAAAAAGACTCAACGGCGATCCTCTGGGAGAGACATATTTTATCCAACCTAGTCGCATACTCTTTCCGAACAAACATGTGCTCAACCTCCCATGACCCCCCCTGAAAAGCATCCCATAATTGGACATCCCTTAAGAGTTCACCTAGAACTGTCGACACATAACCCGCCCATTTGGTTCTACATCTGCCCTCCATATGACACAGTTCCAGTCCCCTATTATAGTCACAGATGGCAAGGCATGCAACAAAAATTCTAAGATCTTCATGCACAAAAGCCGTCTTCACTTGCACATCACTTTCTACTGGTGCATACACACACACAAACGATACTCTCTCCCCATCCACCAACCATCCACTTGCAAGACCCTCCTCCTGGCCCTTCCCTCACACCTCTGCAATACAAATGGACTCGCCTCCCAGATCAGGACACCCACTCCACCTTTCAAACAGGCTGATGGCTGCGCTACCACCTGATA